ATTGTTATCCATATAAGATCAGTCACAATCAATAGTTGCTTACTATCAACAGGAAAACCCAAACTGATCTTTGCATTGGCTTTCCTTGCCAGAACAGAAGAAGTTGTGTCATGACCATGGAAAATCTTGTGGAAAATTCCTGTTTTCCAACATATTCCACTTCATTCACCTGCAAGTTAGTTTTGTATTGATTTGCAGCCACATTTATCCTTTGACCATTCTTCTTCAAAGAAGCTAGTCCTGATAGGTTTATGACATGCTATGACAGGCCAGAGATACTGAGAAATGCCAACACCTTTATAGTATTTCAACTGCAACATGTAACAATGACAATGCTTTGAGTCAACCACTTCATGCAAAATAGAGTGCCTCCACATATCAGAATGATTAGTCGTATGATTCCTAATTCCTGATCCCATTGTTTTCTGGGTATTAATCCATATGATTTTTGGTGTGGAAACATTTTAAAACTGAAGTTTATCAAGGATATGCCACAAACTTGGTAGTCTTAAAAAACAAATATCATTGTCTTTCAGTGTCACATGACATGTGAGAAACATCCCAGTGAACCAATTATGGTCAGACATTGAACACACTGTTCATTGCCTTTGGGTTTTATATCTTTTGAGGACCATATTGAGCAGCATCCCCTGCATTGTTAAGTTTCTGTATAGTATATGTCTTTGCTTGTAGTGCCAAAAAACCACAGTGGTGAGTTTTGATAGCAATTTTTTATACAGTGTGTTCCACATGCCCTGAAATGTCACCATACCAAATTTTGTTGCATTTGGGCTGCTAACTACTATATTTGTCTTGATAGTATTGAACAGGAAAAGTTTCATTATGATCTCTCACTATATTAGGGCACAATAGATTAAACAGTATAATATTTAAATTGTAAGTTATTTATCATTTACTCAAGAAATGACAACATATCATTAGTTTTTCTCAATAATGTTTAATAAATTGTTGAATCAGAGCCAGCCCGAGAAAAAGCAAAACCTCGTGCAAAGTTGTCATGCAAGGCCTTTTAATAATAATAAAATTAAAAAAAAAAAAAATAGTTTTGAACAACAAAATAATATTTTCATGATAAACATACCATCCATTAAATAGATTAGCAAAAATTAGTTAAATTAGCAGATAATGAAGTGATCAATTTTTAAATTTTGCAAGAGTTGGATCATGCAGGCTCATGGGCCTGGTACAGTCACACAACCCTCCAGCTGGCCCTGTGATGAATTGTACTGTTAAAATTATTTCTACCTGTTTAAATTTGTCTACACAATATTAACTATTTAGTTAGATTAGTAGTATTACTGATAAAAATCTTAAACTAATCAATACACAGCATTTTGAAAAATGCTAGAATTGTGCTGACTAATCCTTATGAAATAAAGTAGGACCATTCAGTTTTCAAATTTGATTTATAATTGCCATAAAACAATGTATAAATAAATTATATTATTCAGGAAGAACAGCAATGAAATACAGTAGAGTCTTGATAACTCAAAGTAGCAGAGACAAAGTTTTCAAGTTAACAAAAATCCAAGTTACAGAAGCCATCATTATTTCATCCTTTAGCTTCTATTCTGATCTTGAAGTTGGTTTTAATGTGTAAATTTTCACAAATATCTCAATTCTATAATGTTCTTTATAAGATATAAAAGAATAAAATAGATATAATAAAATTATATGTTTTTCATATAAATTATAAAACTTTTTTTATTACTATTAAAAAAAACACAATTTTCTGTTTTTTACTATATGATATACTTATATTCCATTTATGTGAAAGATATAAAAATAATGTCTCTTTCTAATATAAAACTTTAAATTATTATAATTATCAATAAAAATAAACTGTTAAATAAATTACAAATATTTCTCATTTAGTCTTAGAACTATTAATTATTCTCCATTATATCAAATTATTATATTCTAAATATATTCATTTCCCTAACAGCATCAAATAAAGTTCATAAACTGAACAATATAAATCTGTTTACCTACCTGTGAAATAAAATAAGAGGAAAAATTCTTTGTTGTAGTTGAATCATATCTACCTAGGAATTTTTATAATCATTTTATCTTGTAAAATGAATAAAATATTTAATTAATAGTTTACACTGTTCCAAAATTACTGCTTCCTACACTTCATTATTAATTTGCAAGTTAAATTAGTTTCTTCCATGATTATTTGCAANTTGATCTCAAAAATAGGATATGGGTCACACCCTATCTATCCTATCCATATAATAATGCATGTTTAAACATTATATTTGCAATAACTGTTTTTAAGATATGCAATACATAGTAATGTAAAACATAGTAATGTAAATACATAGTAATGTAAAAATATGGGGATACTAGAATTTTTTTTATCTCAAAGTGGGTGATGGTTGAAATAAGTTTGAGAACCTGTGGGTTATACTATAATAATGGTGTATATTTAACTTAGTTATGGTTTTTAACTACATCAAAAATTACATCAGAGAAATTAATACACAAACTTACTAGTGCAAAAATGTTTTGTTGAAGTGTGAAATGGTGAAATATAGACTTCAAAGCTGTGTAAATTGTGATGAACAGCAGTTTGAGTGCCTGTGTTGATAAAATTGTATTCTATTGTATTAGTAAATATAACTGTATATGTAATCTCAATAAATGTTATCATTTACTGTCCATCTACTTTTGGGTCACCCTGTATACATATAAATCCTTCAATTCTTTCGATTAGAGTTGGTAGTCCGTCTGCTTCAGTCACTAGATCAAGAATGTCCTTTCTCTCCTCTGTGTAATCAAATACTATATTAACATTTTGGTGTAATTGTGAGAACCCTCATTTTTCATGATTCCCATGAGGACAACTCTTTTGTTTTCTAATATGTTTTGACCTGGGGTGAAACAGGTGGCCACATATCTCCATTTATCAGGGCTGAGGAATCGGAGTCGTGGAGTGTTGGTGTTTTAGCCAGAGTTGGAGTTGTCAAAAAATCCGCCAACTCCAACTCCTTTTTTACTTCCCAACTTGTTATGTATATAAAATGGAAAAGTATTGGAATCCTGTCTGATTTGACCCTCCAAGATTTTTTTGCAAATCTACACGTTTGGAGACCTCCTGAGCCCTTCAAAAAAGTCAATAAAAGGGTAAACATTCATGCGCATGTGTCTGTTGGCATTTAATTTGTTTAATTTCTTTATTTTCTGTTCTGAGATATTAAATGATATCTCAGAATGGGTAAAGTTTAAGAAATGAAATGTGGCACTGTAGTTTGCATATAAAGGGGCATTAATACTATTAAAAAAATAATAAAACTCGTCTCTACTCTCACAGTAAGCTTTTTTGTCATTTTATAATAGTACAGTAAAACCTGTTAAGATGTTCTCACCTAAGATGTTAGAATGTATATGGGGACACGATTTAGTTCAACCACTTTGATGCTTAATAACTAACTCCTGTGTTAAACCATCTGACTCCGATTCAGACCACTCTGACCACAGAAATTATTAGGCTTCGAACAGGGTGAACGAAATCATGCCCCCAACACACAGTCTAACATCCACACATATAGAAAAAACCTCGAATCTTTTGCATATCTCAAAATTTCAAGGTGTCCTGAGTCCAAAAATATAAAAATTTGGGAGGGGTCATTTTTTGACCAAGTGCTACACTTTCCCACTGTTATATATAACAGCTGGAAAAGTAAATATTATCGAATGCATATTTATATATTACTTAGAGGAGTCTTTTAGCTTTGGAATAAAAAGTTTCTACATTCTATCTTTATTAGAACTCTATGAAATTTTTTATTCTGAGGTCACATGATGATATCAGAATTTCTAAGTCTCTTTTGGTAAACATGTCTGCCCCTGGTCAGAGTCGGTAGATTTTTACGCGACTCCACAGCCCTGCCATTTATTGTTCTACACACACACACACACACGTGTGTGTGTGTGTGTGTGTGTGTGTGTAGAACAATAAATGGCCTATATAAACCTATAATAAGAACAATAAATGGCCTATATAAACAATAAATGGCCTATATAAACCTATAATATATATACACACACACACACACACACACACGTGTGTGTNTCTTTGCTAAAATAAAGTTTTATGATCAGTTTAGAGAAATTTGTCAACTTTCATATATTTTTCTACAAAAGACAACGGACAGATTTATAGGAAAGTATATAAATAAAAAGAAGATAGATTTTCCAAAAAAAATTTGAAAGAAAAGATGAAATTCAATGACACTTCATGTCCAAACACAAACATGTCTACAAATGTCTCAAACAGATAAAATAGTAAAATGGTATAAACAAACAAAATTTTTCTTTTATCTGATAACTGCTACTTAACAACTGGATATTATTAGATAAAAAATGAACTCCACAAATACCTAAGATAACAGGTATTTGTAAAGTTCATTTTCTTCTTTTTATTTATAAGATTTAATATAAAGTATTTAATTTTTCTAAGTTTTATTATATTTTTTTCTATATCAATTTCATTTTCTGTTATTTTGAATTTCATATTTTTCCCGACCTCTTTCTTTCTCACTTAAATTATAATTTTTATTGATGTATATTTCTTATATTTATATAAGTAGATATTTTCTTAAAATTTTTTAAGCTATTTTATATATGTTTCATTTACTCTCCGAAAAGTTTAAATTTACTATTATATGTATTCTTACTTTCATTATACGAAACATGTTAGTATTTGATTTTTTTGTGTAAAATTGATGATGATTGAATAACAGATTGCAAATGCTTCTGGCAAAATAATTGGTTATCTGAAGTAAAATAATTATTTTTAAACATATCATACAATATTAAAGTCCCAAATTTTGAAGATTTCATCAAACTAAAGTATTAGAAAAAAATTTAAATTTATTAAAATTATACAGAAAATAATTGATGTACAGTACATATCTTTATGATACTTATATCATACATACCATATATTAATATATATAACTTTTTTTCTGAGAAATTATACTCGTACATCCATATACATATGCTTATCTTATAAACATAAAATTTTCTATTATTATTAAAGACTAAGATCAAAAGATCAATTAAAAGATGTTTTAGGCATACCTTTCCACACTTAATCGAATAAATTCTTCAATTTCTGGGAAAGGATCTGATGAACGAAAATAAAATGCTTTCAGTGATGGTTTTTTCTTGCTATTTTTACTTAAAACACAGTAAGCCAAATGTAGTAATACAGTGCAGTCTTTACCACCATTAAAACTTATTCCAATGCATTCTTCAGGATATTGTTGAAGACATTCTTCTAATACAGTAATACTTTGAGCAACTCTTTCAGATAAATTTGAACTACATATAGAAGGAAGTTGACAATGACTTTCTAACAAATTATATACTTCTTGAATGCTTTCAGATAAACTAGGATCTTTGCAATTCACAACTGAATTAGGTGGGAGTAATGATCTCAAATAAGCTTCTGCTTTAATTAATGATGATTCATTTTCAGATTCTAAAGTAATTTTAACTTTATAATTAGTATTATCAACAATAGGATAAGATCCAAACTGTACTTCATTCTGAAATTTTTTAACTGCTTGATTTAAGTTATCAATAAATTCAAATTCACTTATTCTAAGACATAGTATTTTACTGTGAAATTTTTTAGGAGTAACTGGAGTAAATATATCTTTAAGTAAATTAAAAGAATATTCTAAATAAGTTGGAATCCCTGGAAATATGTAAACATTATATACAGATACAATTGGAAAGAAAAACTTTTTACTATTTGTCTGTATTTTAGGATAATGTAACACAGCTGATTTTGGAAGAAGGGACATTTTACGAATAGAATTGCCATCAAGCTGTAACTTTTCACACCATTTTTGCAATATTTCTAGAAGTATTTTATTTTCTACTAAAGGTTCTTTAAATGCTTTTGCAACACCTTCATAGGTTAAATCATCATGTGTAGGACCAATCCCTCCACTAGTTAAAACAAATGTAAATGTTTTAGAGCATGATAGTACTTCTTCTGCTATAACATTTACTTCATCAGGAATAACTACAACACGTTGTACTTTAACTCCCAGATCATATAACTGCTTACATAGAAAAATAGAATTTGTATCTGTAGTTTGACCTTTTAAGATTTCATCTCCTACTGTAATAATACTTGCTGTTGGTCTTTCTGCCATATTAAAATAAGTTAAATTATTAACTTTGTTTCTTATATTATAATGCTGATAAGTTAATTTTTAGAATATGATGTTTTGCAACAAAATGAGGTTGATATATTCTGAAAAATTAAAAATAAAATGATACATTAATTGTCATAATTATATCATAAATTAATAAAGTAATCTAGTAAAACAGGTAATATTTATGTAAGTAAAATTCGTTTCTACTAATAATTCTTTAAAAATTTATATTAAAATAAATATTTTTATTTCATACTAATAAATATTGTAACTTACATGCCATATTTTCATGCAGATTACCTGCTGGTTATCTATGTTTAAAAGACAATTTAAAGAGAGTGAAGATTGTGTGTTAAACTAGTCATATGCTGATTTAAAATTGCAATTACGAACTCATCTCTGTGGAGTAATGGCTGGTCCTTAGGTGTGGGATATATAACAGAGCTATATATCCGAAATTTTATTTTCATTCTAGCAATTTTCTATGGCATATATGCCATCACACCACTGCAGGTTATATGCACAAAAATATGGCTAAAATCTTTTTTTTTAAATATATATTTTATGAACTTGGTTTTAGTACCAGATGATTGAATTAAAGTACTCCTATTCAATACTGTTTAGACAGATATTTAGCAAATACAATAAAATTTAATATAGTGACATTTCAGGACATGTGAAAGACATTTCAGTAAAAAATTTAATACAAAAACTAACCACTACAACACTTTTGATGCTGCAAGCAATGAGGAAGCAGCTTCCTTTGCACAAAAAAATGTGTTGCAACCAAGTTCTGGGTGTAAAATTGACCACAACTGTTGAATAACACTCTTATCAGCTACAATGGCCTTCACTTTACTGAAATGTGCATTTCTTGTAAAACTATTTTATGAAAATAACAGTAATTCTGCAGCTAAACTTCAGGCATTTCATTGTCAAGAATTTTCACATGGGGCCATTGACTCCACAAGCTCTCATGAAGACAATCACTTGATTCAAGGAAACTGAACATATGGGAGTTCAACCCAGTTTTGAGTGCAAATCTATCGCTTTATGTCATTGAAGATGTTATCATAGTTGTTGTTAAACAATCAATGTTGCTGGCTCCACATACAGTGTTATTGCAGTTAGGTACCGGTACATACTATGTCATACCGTGGAAGGCATTGAGAAAGTTGGTGCATTGTTATCCATATAAGATCAGTCACAATCAATAGTTGCTTACTATCAACAGGAAAACCCAAACTGATCTTTGCATTGGCTTTCCTTGCCAGAACAGAAGAAGTTGTGTCATGACCATGGAAAATCTTGTGGAAAATTCCTGTTTTCCAACATATTCCACTTCATTCACCTGCAAGTTAGTTTTGTATTGATTTGCAGCCACATTTATCCTTTGACCATTCTTCTTCAAAGAAGCTAGTCCTGATAGGTTTATGACATGCTATGACAGGCCAGAGATACTGAGAAATGCCAACACCTTTATAGTATTTCAACTGCAACATGTAACAATGACAATGCTTTGAGTCAACCACTTCATGCAAAATAGAGTGCCTCCACATATCAGAATGATTAGTCGTATGATTCCTAATTCCTGATCCCATTGTTTTCTGGGTATTAATCCATATGATTTTTGGTGTGGAAACATTTTAAAACTGAAGTTTATCAAGGATATGCCACAAACTTGGTAGTCTTAAAAAACAAATATCATTGTCTTTCAGTGTCACATGACATGTGAGAAACATCCCAGTGAACCAATTATGGTCAGACATTGAACACACTGTTCATTGCCTTTGGGTTTTATATCTTTTGAGGACCATATTGAGCAGCATCCCCTGCATTGTTAAGTTTCTGTATAGTATATGTCTTTGCTTGTAGTGCCAAAAAACCACAGTGGTGAGTTTTGATAGCAATTTTTTATACAGTGTGTTCCACATGCCCTGAAATGTCACCATACCAAATTTTGTTGCATTTGGGCTGCTAACTACTATATTTGTCTTGATAGTATTGAACAGGAAAAGTTTCATTATGATCTCTCACTATATTAGGGCACAATAGATTAAACAGTATAATATTTAAATTGTAAGTTATTTATCATTTACTCAAGAAATGACAACATATCATTAGTTTTTCTCAATAATGTTTAATAAATTGTTGAATCAGAGCCAGCCCGAGAAAAAGCAAAACCTCGTGCAAAGTTGTCATGCAAGGCCTTTTAATAATAATAAAATTAAAAAAAAAAAAAATAGTTTTGAACAACAAAATAATATTTTCATGATAAACATACCATCCATTAAATAGATTAGCAAAAATTAGTTAAATTAGCAGATAATGAAGTGATCAATTTTTAAATTTTGCAAGAGTTGGATCATGCAGGCTCATGGGCCTGGTACAGTCACACAACCCTCCAGCTGGCCCTGTGATGAATTGTACTGTTAAAATTATTTCTACCTGTTTAAATTTGTCTACACAATATTAACTATTTAGTTAGATTAGTAGTATTACTGATAAAAATCTTAAACTAATCAATACACAGCATTTTGAAAAATGCTAGAATTGTGCTGACTAATCCTTATGAAATAAAGTAGGACCATTCAGTTTTCAAATTTGATTTATAATTGCCATAAAACAATGTATAAATAAATTATATTATTCAGGAAGAACAGCAATGAAATACAGTAGAGTCTTGATAACTCAAAGTAGCAGAGACAAAGTTTTCAAGTTAACAAAAATCCAAGTTACAGAAGCCATCATTATTTCATCCTTTAGCTTCTATTCTGATCTTGAAGTTGGTTTTAATGTGTAAATTTTCACAAATATCTCAATTCTATAATGTTCTTTATAAGATATAAAAGAATAAAATAGATATAATAAAATTATATGTTTTTCATATAAATTATAAAACTTTTTTTATTACTATTAAAAAAAACACAATTTTCTGTTTTTTACTATATGATATACTTATATTCCATTTATGTGAAAGATATAAAAATAATGTCTCTTTCTAATATAAAACTTTAAATTATTATAATTATCAATAAAAATAAACTGTTAAATAAATTACAAATATTTCTCATTTAGTCTTAGAACTATTAATTATTCTCCATTATATCAAATTATTATATTCTAAATATATTCATTTCCCTAACAGCATCAAATAAAGTTCATAAACTGAACAATATAAATCTGTTTACCTACCTGTGAAATAAAATAAGAGGAAAAATTCTTTGTTGTAGTTGAATCATATCTACCTACCTAGGAATTTTTATAATCATTTTATCTTGTAAAATGAATAAAATATTTAATTAATAGTTTACACTGTTCCAAAATTACTGCTTCCTACACTTCATTATTAATTTGCAAGTTAAATTAGTTTCTTCCATGATTATTTGCAATTGAATATTAACATTTTAATTTGCAATTAACATTTTAACATATTTTTTCCTTCTGAAAACATCTTAATTTTAAATATTTTTTAAAAATTCATTGATTAAGAATGAACATAAAATTGAGTCAAAATTTTCTTTACTAATTCTTTTTCTTAAGACTTTGTTTATTTAAAGCAAATAAATACTACAATAAATATACAAATATGTATATAGTAAAATCTGCATATTGTAATCATTTAGGGACTTCCTATACTGATAACATTAAGCAGTGTAAGTAAATAAAACTACTGTACAATTAGTTATAATTCTGATTTTATAATTGTATACTTGCTTACTGGAGAATAAATTCAATAGAAATAAAAACCATTCCACTATCCAGCATAATTCTTTAATAACATAAAAACGTTTTCAAACGCATTAAGTGTTCATCATCAGTTATTTCTCTAATTCGAAATGGGAAATTCAAAAAATTACGCAAACAAATTTCAAATAAATGATTTAATATATAGTTGGTTTGCTGTATGTTAAATAACAATGTAAATTCGTCTCTGTAATCCAAAACACACGCTTTGGTAGACTTTTCTCACAGCAATTTCTGGTTAGCAAATTTAACTTTTATTACTCATTGAACTACAAATATATTTCGGGTTGGTATAATATACTCCAACCCCTCTTCAGTGCTAGTTCAGATAAACAAAAATGTCAAAACATGACTATGTTATATTACATTAAATGAAACAAACCAAAAAAACATCAAAAACACTTACATTTTTTCATTAAGTACATAACAAAATTTGTTTCTTATTTTGCTATTTTCACAAACTATAGGGTAGGAGGGTAGACCGTTTTACAAACATCAGTTTTTGTTTTAACTTAAATACTATGCATGCCATGTTCATATGTAAAGACAAATAAAGACTGCCATAGTTTAACTTGAAGGAGAGATTAATACTAAGGACGGATGGATTACGTCTGTTCTCCAGATGTCTATTCTGCAAGGTGGGGACATTAACACCTCTATCCCCTGACCAAGTGATCTCTTCCACTGGTTCTCCGAATTTTTCACCATTGCAGATGTGGGGTTAAGGGGAGTGGTACACACAAACATTTTAAAAATTTAAAAATCAAACATTTGTATTTTATATAAAAATTAGAATTTTTCTTTCCATTTTTACAATTTTCAATTACACATGGGTATATAACAGACACAGTAAAAACCAATGACACAGTAACAAAAAATCCATACGTATGTAAAAGCTATTAATACACAAACAACAATATCATTAAACCAGTATTATGGAAATTTACTATTACCAAAAAAA